AGTAGGTGGATCCGAGATGTGTCTTTATTGTACAAGTTTATTCCGCACCGATCGAATAGGCACCGCCTTCGTACAGTTGCGATAGTCTAAATCATTCTCATTCGATTCTTTCAACTGTCTTTCTGCACGCAAAAGAAGGTAGTCAAATTTTTTCAGCTTCCTTGGTCATAGAAAACGGTAGACACTGAGCTCGACCGCTTTAAGTTAACCTGTAGCACGCAAGTAACCCACTGAGGCGCAGTTACTTCCTACGTCTCCGACACCGACTCCCATGCGATCCATATAACTTCGTCGATTTTAATTGTTTATCCGCTTTATATGCTTGGCATGGTCTAAGGAAGAAACACTGAAAGAAGCTGCTCACCAAGTGGTCTTTTGTTCTCGAAACTTAAATTAAAATTTATAGCTCTCGTTATCCACAATCCAACATGCCTACGACGTTCGTACACTTACACAAATCTGCTCACGTGTAATTAGTAACCTCATTTTTAAAACCCGCATCATAGTAACTTGTTTTCTACCTAGTATCCTCCTACGGAAGTCCATTTCGATTCTGCGACCAGTTCTGTTGCATACCAGTTCCGTCGACACAATAACATCGTGCTTATCTGGACACGAGACTGCAGAAGTCGTTGGCTATGGCTTTGCGTAAAATACGAAAAGTCGTGCAATTGCCATATATATTAACCGGTCCTCCACCAAGCCTCTTGAAATGATGACTTCCTGATTGGTTCCAGACTTATTCCAAGATAATCGTGTAAGTCGCATTAAGCACAGGTGCAAAGTCTGAACTACCTTCCAAGCTCCGGGCCAAAGCAGTGTCCCCTAAGCAAATACACGTATGCATCAATTTAGTCGAACCACTTGCAGGCAATGGTTCGGATTGTATCACTCAGCTAGTCGAAAAATCTGGTGTACCCATCTCATACATTACATACAAAATGTGGAGCAAGTAGTGTTTCGATGCTACTCTTCCCAACCACTGAAACGCATCACCGAGGGGTTTCGTACTGATTTTGACTCGTCAGGTGGAGATAGCCTGATCTGGGAGTGGAATTCAGAACGGTAATTGGCGCCTATCGCCCTGTTAACCACACAGCTGAGCAAGGAGATACTGGCGAGATCCTTGGATCTGAGTCGAATGAGTTCGTCACTACCTGACCATAAAACGACTAATGGCCGACCTTTCACCAGTCGACACAACACTACACCCAACATGCAAGCCCCTCGACGGACTATTGAGACCAGGGTAGTTTCCTCGCATGTACACCAACGCACAAGGTCACGTGAACAAGGTTGCCGAAATGCGGCTACGTCAAGCATCATACGCCGGCAGCCTCATATTCCTAACTGTAATTTAGTTGCACTCATAATTTGCCGACGACAAACCGCGGCGCATGGTACGTTCCTTCTTCGAAACCATCGCCCTAGCAAGGGCGGTGGGGTACTTTTATGCTACTGCGGTGACCTACAGGGTGAACCGGTGGACGATCCGTAAACACCTATTATAGACTCACTTCGGTGTTAGCTGGGCCTGGGACACAAAGACACTTACTTTGTGGTAGTTTTTATCTTCCCCAAATATCCACTCCAGATATGGATTTCCTCCTGACATTAACCTTGGGGAGGGTCCTTCAACGACGATGCAGCCATGTTCTCAAGTGATTTCAATGTTTACGGCCTGGAAGTTCCGGCATTCCACAACGGGCAATTCAAGGCAGACTTGCAAGTTATTATTTCAAGCATTTCATGGCACTTCCCCCAACAGAGCGGGATATAAACCATCTGTGCTCGATGTAGTGCACACGCACAAAGAGCTCATGATCGAGGAGCCGACGATGGAAAGCCCTCTGGTGCTGAGTGTTAACGTACCAATACCTCACAACTATACATGTTATGCGGAGTATCCAAAAAACGTTTTGACTTGTTTCGGGCAATCACACATTACGATATATTAACAGATTTCCTTGGAGAAACCAACTGGGTTTTCGAGTGACTGTTCCATTGATACCGTCTAGATGGAGTCGGCTGGCAAGTTCAGTAATCTGATTAAAGTCACCTCGAAAACAGGCCTTCTTCTTCTTCAGGTGTACATATATTCAGAGCAAAATCCGAAAATGTATGGCATGTGTACAGATCGATCTCTATCCTTGAAAACTGGACCAACTAAGTGATGCAACGTAATTACTCTATCACACTTGTCCGTGAGGACAAGTTAGTCCACCAGCAGAGCTTAGCAGAAAGGTTTTGTGCTAACAACAATCTTCTGCACGAACATGTGAACAGCTTCCGGCATGCGAATCGTGATGTTCTCCCACTCATTTTAGAAAATGGATGTGCTCAAACCATTGAGGATGCAGCCTACGTTGTACGGCTCTAATATGTACCAATATCCCGGCTCACCAACAGCTTGTGTCACACACACACACACACACACACACACACACGCATACCTGTCCGATTCCATCAGTGACCAACATCTATACACGTCACTTTTAATTCAGCGACCGTTTTGTGGAATCTGTTATCGTTGCGTGCCCATAGTTCCTCTGGTAATGACAACATTGACCCGAAAGCACAGCTGGTGACAGGCACGAAGATAGCTGGGCCATTAACACCATTCTTTTGACGATGCTTCGATGAACAGCAGGTTGTTAGTGTGTGGAAGCAGGGTATCATTACCCTGATTTTCAAGGGTGGTTACATTCGGAGCGGGACAAATATCGCCCTGTGATTACGCGCACGATGTTCTCAAAGCGCGTGGAGTCGATCATAACTGAGAACCTAATGGGCTACTTTGAAAGCACAAACATAAAAACACAGGAACAACGCGCATTCCTTCTGCATCGGTCATGTACTACCAACCTTCTGATTGCGCGGGGTTGTCAGTGGGACCGGAGCTGATGTCATCTATCTCCAGTTTTCCAAAGCCTTCTACCTCTTAGATCACCGAATCCTACTCCAAATGCCTCAAACATGAGAAATTGGGACACATGTCTTTGGATAGATCTGAAAGTTTATTCTTCAATTGCGATTTTAGGTTCGGTCTAGTGACCCATTGTCCGATCCTCTTGTAATGAGCTGCGGTGTTCCACAAGGCTCAGGGTTGGGGCCGTATTTATTTTTGTCTTCATTGACGACCTGCGCGTTTCGTCCAGTCGAATTTCCTGTTTTTCGCCAATGACATCAAGATATAGTGGACAATCGATTTTCAAGAAGACCACGATCTGCTGCAAGGAGATTTGGATCGTGCTTTTGGATGATCAAAGGCAAATCTACTTGCGTTCACCGCGGGGATGTGCAAAACTCTACATGTAAGCCACAGGCTTACTAGGGCATTTAAGCATATAGATCACACCCTGAAGACTGGCTCACAGGAGCTTGACACTAGGGTTGTAATGCCGGATGAACTCGGCTGTTCGCAACAGTCCCTGCAAGAGTCTGAAACAGAAAACTAATAGGTCGGTCTCTTATGGAGTGGGCTCGACCCTCCATCGTCCTTCAAATGCTCAATGCGTTTGTGGGGCCCGATGTAGGGCACACGATTCGAGCCTGGCAACCCTGGTTGAAATGCTATCTGGTTGCACTGGTGATCCCACAGAGAATAGCAACCAAAATTTGGAGGAGCTGCTCCGCATGCCATACTATCTACGACTGAAAACCCTAGGTGGCCGGAAAACTGAGGGAACTGCTTGGGTTTAGTAGAGGTGCGCAATGTGCAGCATTGGAGATGAGAGATTTGTTGGATTATGGGGTGTGGTCTCATCATACAGGATGGTTGAGGTCCGTGTAGCAATGGCACAACTACCACCCATTTGATTTTGAACGCGCGGGTGTCTCCCACCTCGCGTGGGCCTAGCTTCAGTGTAATAAAGTATTGCTACCCATTATTATCAATTGCTCTATGTCGCACCTAGACCCAAGTTAACTGCTATGCTGGGATATTGTCCGAATGCTATTGGCTGTTAGCGGTTGACTACTCAATGTGTCTTGGATGTAAGTTCCGTGATTATCTGCTCAGATGCTTTTGGTTACGCAGGAAAGCTACTGCCTTACGGATGAAAGAGACTGCATTATGGGCGTAATCAATTGAGAAATGGTGTATATATACTCTGTCGATTCTCATCCTGTTGGAAATGACGATACAAAATTGATGAAGAAGTATTTGCATTAGAAAATGACTGATGTAGCAGTGCATACGTGGTTTTATTAAACTTATTAGGTTCAAAGTCTGATCTAGATCATTTGACAATGGGTCTGCTCAGAAATATTGTTCTTGGGAGAATACCGAATTCCGCGAGTCCCAGGTTAGGGCCATAAAACCGGGTGCAAACCGATGGCGATATCGTAGAGTTCCGAAAGACCACCACATGCACATAAAAGGATCGGGGAATGGTAAATACACTTCCTGTGCGCTCGTCTCCTCTACGGACTCCCAAAGTGTAATTCTGCCATGTAAGACTAGTGTGTCTAGGAAGACTATGAGTGACAGTGCTCGAGTATTTGACAAACCGCGAGCATACCTGTAACACAGCCCTATCCTGAGTAAAACCTGGTTTGTTTTTATTAATGCGTTGTTTACGTGCTCGAAACACCCCCGTACATGTGAAGCTGTGTGGACTTGCGACAAATGAGACAAGCCAGTTGGCACATTACTTCATATACCTGTTGTCTTAGGACTACACCATGGTATTTTGATTACATGCTATTCGATAAATTAGCGGTTCCTTCTTATTATGTTTAGTATGGTTTCTCTCCATTCGATCACCTTATTGGTGTAGTTTACTTTTGCTTGTTGATACCAGAGATGATTGCATCAATAGTGTGCTAGTCGTTCGCATTTGTGAATCAGGATACCCACAATCTAAACGGGCCGTCACAGTGTGCTAAATCTTTTCAGCATCTTCAGGCAAAGGTATGCTTCTCTCCGGCAAAGCATATCTGTCAATATATGCATGCTTGTCTCACACCCCACCAAGTTTATGCAGCAAGTCGAAAGAATGGAAGATATGGGTCTATTTACACTAAAGCACAAGTCGGAAAGAGTTGGGCAGCGCTTGTCTGCATCTGATACAGGATGGGCACGTGATACCAGTGTTTTGGTTAGCAGCTGGTGACCCAGTTGGCGCTCGAAAGGCGTTGATTTTGCTTACAAGGATATATACAATTTCACAGATAGATTATATCCATGAACCAGGCTAAGGCTCGCCTGCTTTACTGTGAAACGGCGCGCTTGTTATCGATGGCCTCCAGAGGAATATTCATCGTCTTATTTGCCCGAACAGCACACCTTGATAGAGCACGTTTCCAATCTCCATTGTTACAACCATGGCATTTTGAGGGAGTCCAACTGGTCCACCTGAAATGTTCGGTAAATAGTTGGTTAGAGGCTGCGTGTTTACAATAAGATGACGAAGCTTCATACTGCCGCCTAGCATACAAGATTGCACAAATTTCGGAGAATAATCATCCTTTCTGACCATGTTGGATAGCACTTTTGCAAAATCCTTCCACTTGTGGCAAACTAGTAGTATTACAACTACTGTGTAAAAATGGCAAGGGTCTGCGTCTGGTGTACACTATAGCCGCAATTCCACCTAAACTTTGAGCTCTGTGTAAGCATCGAACCTGGCACATCGGCTCCAAGACATTTCAGGTCAGTTATAGGCAATATTTTAGGAGATTAGGATTATCGGCTAATAAAAGCTGAACGAAATTTTAGTCGCACACTAACGTTAATTTTATGTGTCTTACCCGATTGCGCCTGTATCCTGAAATTCTGTGACATCATTGAAAAAGATGCTCCATGGATTCCCACGTTGTTACCAGAATTGTCTCTGGCGGTATTATTAATAGGATTGGACTCTCCTGCTCGTCGACTCTCCTGTGCCAGGGCTCCCGGTTTGCGTGTCTGCGCATTGTTAAATATGGAGCGCTTCGGAGAAGTTTCCTGAGCAGAGGCAGCTGCGGGTGTTGTTCGAGGAATTTTCGCTGCAGGTGAGTCGTACCTGGTTCCACTTGGCGGCCGTGCTACCGGTCGTTTAGTTGATGAGCTCGAACTAGGCAATCCTCTGTTAGTAGTGTTTTCATTGTTGTGCTGCGCTGTTGAACTGGGCGAAAAGTTAACCATGGAGCCACCCGTATCATCCGTCGAAAGCATTCCGTTCGAAGTCCCACTCGTTGCAGCTGCCAGAAACTGTTGGTATGCAAAGTGGAAGTAAGTATTTTAATCGAGATTTTAACTACAGATCTGTTCAAAATGGACCCAGGAATTAAGTTTCCCTAGTAAGGCACTTCCAATATTATAATACTAATAGGCTCAACTGTTCTCGTAACCCAGAGTAAAACGAATGGTCCGAAGGACTTGATACTGATTACCGAACTAAGTCCCTAAGGATGTTTTTCTATTGACTTGCACAACGTCTTACGATGCATGTGGAATGACCAACTGTGTGCGTCCTAGATCCAGCTTACTCGGTTTAACTTTGATAATTTAAAGGCATCTTTATCTGATTCGGCATCTTGAACTTACTCTAATCCTCATTAGTAGCAGGATTTTAGTTACAAATCTGATAAGGCTTTCATCCCAACAGTTCACAAGCTACATAGCAGAGCCTAGTCCGGAAAAGCACCAGACGCGTTTCGCCCTATTGGGGCTCGTCAGTGGCGCGCATTCCCTCGGTCCTCTAAGGAGGATCGAACCCATGACCGCTAGAGGCAGATGCCAACTAGCCAGCAGCTTAAGCCACTGAGCCATGGGGGACGTTGGCTGGGTTACATAATTTGCAGACTAGCTGGGATATAGCACCACCTATCTACTACTGTCACTGACAGTGATTAGCCTGCAAGGTGATGTCCTCTCACTAGACGCTATATATATAGCATTTGAAGCTAGGAGAGGCTTATGATTTTTATAGTACTCATCAGTAGCTTGTGAACTGTTGGGATGAAAGCCTTATCAGATTTACAACTAAAATCCTGCTACTCATGAGTACTATAAAAATCAAAAGCCTCTCCTAGCTTCAAATGCTATAAATATAGCGTCTAGTGAGAGGACATCACCTTGCAGGCTAATCACTGTCAGTGACAGTAGTAGATAGGTGGTGCTATATCCCAGCTAGTCTGCAAATTATGTAACCCAGCCAACGTCCCCCATGGCTCAGTGGCTTAAGCTGCTGGCTAGTTGGCATCTGCCTCTAGCGGTCATGGGTTCGATCCTCCTTAGAGGACCGAGGGAATGCGCGCCACTGACGAGCCCCAATAGGGCGAAACGCGTCTGGTGCTTTTCCGGACTAGGCTCTGCTATGTAGCTTGTGAACTGTTGGAAGGAAAGCCTTATCACACTTTAATCCATTGTCCATCACGAGCACTGCAAGTGAATTTGGGCTAAAGCAGCTAAAGCATTTTTCTAACCAGTTCTCAGATGTTAGAATACGCTACCTTGAAATGCCTCTTGGTGGCAGTACTATGTAGTCTACGGCCGTTAAATTGGAGCTTTTAATACGTTGACTGTGTTCCCATTAATAGAGCCCTGCAGTTCTGTTAACGTAGCAGAAACTTATAATGTTTACTGTTATTTCTACGACTATTTAAGTGGGCTTTAAGAATATGATTCAAAAATTCACCACGTTAGTTACAATCTGGAGTTATCCGCTTTGGACAAGTATTTACTCGCTATGTCTGAGGATCGCTTTCGGTTAACAGTACTTAAATATGAAGCTACCATTATCTCCAATTATTTCCTATAAGATCACCTTACCCACCATGTTCGGGAATCCCACTAGTCAATTGCACCGAAGTTCGCTTACCTGCGTCATTGACTTGCCAACAAATTCTTCGCAGTCCGAAGCCGTAGCATTTCCGTCACTGCCGAACAACAATCGACTACATTGTGTCCCGGTCGCACCTATCACTGGATAATTCCACTTCGAGGTTTGTACAACGGCTGTATCACTTATGTTCGTCAGCCGACTGGTCGTATCACTCGGGTCCCCTCGAATTTGTTTGTTTTCCTCTTTCATTTGTCTATTGTGCCTGCGTGTGGAATCAGGGGAGGAGGCCGTGTTCCTGTCGTTTCTTCTTCCTTCGGACACCCTTTTCTCTCGCCTGTCGGCATTGTCACATTCTTGTGGCGATTTGGTTAGCTGCTGTGAATGATCTGTGTTCCGATAATGCAGGAAATAAATAACAATGACAAAAATGTTTTTAGCAATCCGCTACTGGTAAAGGCCCTTTGCACAAGGGGCATCGTATAAAAATCGTCACTATGAATGCACTTCTCTGTAGTCGGCAAAATTAGGAAACGATGTCTTTTTATTTTGTTGGTGTGCATGTCTAATTTCTTTGCTGTGATTATAAAGCGGTTTGGTCTTAGGATCTTGGGGGATTCCCTCACTGAGGTGAAAGTGCTTTTCGACCAATTCACACAGGTATAGGTAACTACCAGCACACTGCTGTGACTCCATTCACAAACAGCGCTCTTCAATGAACATGCTGTTCAGCTCTATCCCACTTGTGTGTTTGTCAAATTATCCGGCATATGATGCCCACGTTGTTTGTATAGGCCAGCGCGTTTGCCAATCATCACCATCATTCTGCACGACAGCTAGAGGTAAGAAACACCAGCTTTTGTGCCGCAATACAACTCATCTGCATAGCAGAAAAATATAGACCAAAGTGAACAATATTATGGTTGTTTTATTTCGGGAGTCCAAATTGAGATCGTTGCTGGAAGCGAACTAAGCGGCAGAAAAAGGGACAAATTGACTCACAACGCAAACGTTGCTGAGGTCGGCTCTTTACCAGGTCGGCTACTGTATCTAAGTAAACTTATTCGTCTTCTTTCGGACCCCAACCAGGAAGTCGAGATGTTACAACTGAGGTCAACTTCAAAGTGAGGGACTTCATTCCTCTTGACCAAATTATCGGTTGGCCTGTCCCCTTATTCATCCATCCAGACCCAGATCGTGCAGACCGCATGGCACGAGAGCCGATGTGCTTACATGCATAACACATGCCCCAGGCGCCAGGGCCTGATACTGTGTGGTTCACTTCCTCTTGTTACGACACAAACAAGACACTGAACACGCTCATTGCTGGCAGCATTTTCTTACCAGATGTGAGCTAAGCTGAGAAGGCACCGCTGGTCGAACGTAACTAAAATCTCTGAACTTATCCAACTAGGTTTGGGATACTGAAATAGGATTGAGTGAACGGCAGCATTATGGAGTCTTCCTTTCAGGGTGAACGTGGTGTCGCACATCCCAATAAATTGTAAGAATTAACAAAAGAGTAGCGAGTTTTGCTTGCACGCTTCGCGATCTCTTCTACTGTACCGGCACTAATGTTGTTACCCAGGTAGTTGAATTTCTGAACGACTTATAGTTGATCCCCACCAAGTACCAGTGCACGGAATGCACTACGTCAATCGTGATGAAAACCTTTGGACTGTTAGTCTTAATCTGTCTAGTGGTACTTGGAACCCAAGGTATGAACGGTTTTGCTTATTGTGGGAAACATAATGAACTATACGCATCCGTTCTGATAAACAACATCTCCACTCATCTCCACTTATTCTACTGGAGTTTGCCTGACACACGGATTCTGGGTCTGTTCCTCCCGCGCAAATTTATGTGGTTCCCGAGCGTATCTCTTCTGTTGGGACGTTAGTATGGTCGACTGTTGGGCCGTTAGCGTTTGCTTTTCCTGTCGCCTCTATACTACTAATATTAGGCGCAGCTGTACCTACTTTAACCAACCACAACATGTTAGGGCAATATGGTTTACATACTCCAAGTCGGGAACTCCATCAAATGGAGCAGTTCCACACTCCACAAGTCTGGTCCTGTGAACGTAGTGTCCATAACCTGGTCAATACAGAAACCGAAGAAGAAGACTGAGGGTTGGTATCCTTGTCTCACACTGGTGGAGTCATTGAGGGAGTGCGGTAGATGGTCTGGAGTGCGCGCGTAAAACACTCATATAACATTTGCTTTCTGCTCGGACATACCTTCCTCAATCTAACAGTCTCAAATGCCACCTCGATTCACTGAATCGAAAGCACCTTAGATTTCGTGGAAAGTGGCTAACACGTGTCTCCAAAAAACGTAATGGTGTTCCAATAACTGACGCAAAGTTGTGATAAATGCACGCAGGATTTCGACTGTACACGCTTTCCTATTTGGGCTTTCACGCTGACCAGCAGAGTAAAGCAACATCGGGGCACTAAAGATCAGACACATACCTTTATGATCACTGAATTCGGAACATGGGCCGCCTTAAAAGTAGAATGTTACCATGCAGCTTCAGGCGATTAGGGTACTCTTCTGTTCTCGTACTTTCCATAATAAATTCTGCAAACCATCTACAATAGCAGACCCACCGGATAAACAAAGGGTTGGAGCAAGTCCATTTGGCCCTTCTGCCTTATTCAATATAGGCAGTCCTGGCGCACACCTACAATTGGAGTGTCATACTAAAGTACAAAGTTTCCCACACATACTGCTACTGGGTGGGTGAATTCGAGGGACACTGTTATTCCACGCACTCAGAAACGAATGAAAGGATGTAATGGTCATCAATACGAAAATAACTTGTCATATTCATCCCATCTTTCAGTAGCAATTTACATACCTCCGTCCAAGGAATGAAACTCGCAAAAAATGACACTTGATGCGTCTATGGGGTTAATGACATTTTTCATTGTCATAAAGTTGTCTGTATACGGTTGCTCCACTGAGAGATTTCGAACAGCACTACAACCGTCAATAGCCAACAAAGTGAAACGAGGCAGTAGTTGATGTTTGGCTGACTTGGGAAGATATAAAACACCATAATGCTAAGGGCAATTCATCATATCTTGAATGCGCTCAATTAATCATTGCACACGCGAAACAGTCGTGAAAACCAGATCCGATATTATATTTTGTTACAACTCAGCTTAACTTTTGCGGTACAGTAGCTGAGGTGCTTCCCACCTCTAGCTAACGTGGATAATGATGAGGGTTTTAGTAAACCTTGTCATTCTACCGAAACCCATCGAATAATCCTACCTAACTTGAACTTACTGTTAGATGCAATATGACTCTCCAAGTCCAAATATTATCGCTCTGTGGCAACTGCTTCACCTGAATTTACGCCGATGCACAAAGCCATTGAATGAAACAGGTGACTGATACTACTTCCGTAGCATGCCGAATTACTTGATCCACTGTCACTGTCATAACGACACCATTGGCATCCAGTGTTTTTTTGTTCGAGGAATACTGAGTATTATTTCCAGTGCGAAATGTTGCACAGACTTGTTTTAGACCAGACATGATAGAGCGTGGTGTAGTCGCCGCATATGCAGCTAACTATCTCTCAGGTATGAAAAAGCATAGGAGCAGCAGCAGATCAATGTTGTGTGTGGTGCACGTGAAGTCTTTCACAACATTCGCTAAAGACGTTATGTCTTCCTTAAATGAGAAGCTTTAATATTTCGCTATTCTGGGTATTCAAAGTCTACATATTTTGCACATTGCAGTGTGGATCTGAAGGTCGTGGGGCTGTCGACTCAGCGCCTCGATCGATATTGTCCTGTCAGCTTGCCCTATGCTTCGAGACATCAAAGCTTTGATTGCTATACCTCAGTGTCCACGCCCATTCTGCTAATCTGGCCGTTGTTTGAGCATACTATTAATTTATGATACATATTTTCAGATCAATGACTCTAAGTGCCTCCTTTGGCTATACGTGGGTTCGATACCCTTCCAACCGGAGGCATTGTCACTCTTAAGTTCGAGGATGCGTACAGCTCTGAACCCACTTGTCAGCTGTGACATGGAACTATGGATATCACTTCAACATCATCTGGGGACGTCATCTTACATCCGTGTTGTTATGCCCACCGAGTGGTTGCTGTGGAAGAAGATGCGGCAAACCGGAGGCGCGCTCTACTGGCTTCCATTGATAATCTTGTGCTCACACACAGCGCACGAGTTCGGAGTGCAAACCTCTTGATTATTCACGGCGGGCTATGATAAGGCTGAAAGTATGCACAACAGTAAAAATCCTTAGGAAAAACGTTAGCAGGCCTGTAGTCCTGCTTGTGTGATCGCGGTGGTTAGACTGTATACGCCTTTTATACGTTTGCTTACTTGTTTAACAAGAGTAGTAAAAGTTTTGGCGTAAGTGAGCCGCGAGTGCTACACTGAATTGCCGGTTTTCGAGCGCCCAGCCTGTTGGGCTGGATGCTTGGTTTTTCTACGAATATCCTACAATGAGCAGCACACTGGATCCTCCTGTTATTTGTAAAATGAAAGTTTGCCTTTTTTCATTCAAGTGTCTCACTTTTGTTGGACTGGTTGTCCAGATCTTCCTCATTTGCCGCCAGATTTAGTGGTGATGGAGAACGGCTGACGATTCGTTGATGTGCGCACGGACCAGTGAACGAACCGACCCCCAACTGCGACATCTGCAAACCGAAATGCATAGATAATTCGCACCTAGATGAAATGAGTAATCGTAATTTGTTTTCAGTGGAATCGGTGAACCATCAAGTGTATTTCTAAACCATGACCTTGCAAAAATTTAATGATCCACCAGCGAAGCGCTGATTAAGGTTAACTGGGCTTGGCTAATATCAACAACATTCTATGCTACCGCACGCATTTGTTGTGGAACGCATATCAGAAGTATTTATCACATTGTTTATCGTATTCCCTGATTTAATTAGGTTGGTGACCATAAAACCAGGTGCCAATCTATGGCAATTTTAGCCGTCATACGCAGACCGCAGTTAAGCCTATCATATTTCTCCCCCCCCCCCCAACATTGCCTGCCTCATTAAGGCTGATATCACGGTTGTGTGCAGAAAACTATCCATTAGCACAATTGCGGACACCAGGTGCCACCGTGGATCGCCTGTTCACCACACGTCATCAATCATTCGTCTAGGAAGCGCACCAGTTACTCACCACGATGGTGAAGGCAAGCCCCGCACAAACACAGATATGCGCTGGTAATTCCAGGCTCCCCCACAACGCAATATCAATGCTTGCTTCTCTACTACAAGTGCTATTAATCTAGACCAGCTGGAATTCATTTAAATGGGACTAGATCTGCACCAGTCGCAGGTTCACATGTGAACTGCAAGCAGGTTTGACTTGAGTGACAGTTGCTTATACTCTGTGCACTATTTATTTGAAATTGTCCCTAGAATCATTGCAGCTCACTTGATTCCGTGTCCCATTTGATTGAGTTAGGTCATCGCCAGACCTGGTTTGACTGCTTGGTGATGGTCGACAACAAGTCCCGGCCCCCGGCACGTGATCTTCGCTTGTCAGTGTCTGGGAACTTCCCGAGACAAACGCTCCCGGAATTGCTGGAAAGCCAGCGCCAAATAAGGTAGCCGCTGCTGCGGCGAGACTGCTCGGAATTCCTGGAAACAGGCAACTAGTAGCGTGTGCGGACGACGAGCCGATAGCAATCTCTTCCATACCTCCAGACATCAAAGACGGTAGGTTGTTGCTTGATCCAAATGGAAAGCCAGCCGTAGATGCCATTGGGTGGATGAAATGCGGTGGAAACAACTGATGGGACGTGGAAGATAACTGGTGTGTTACTGTACTTGGCGGTACTTGAATTGGTAGTCCAGTACCTGCTCCTGAGGAAAAGCCCAACATAGGATGCATCGCTTGCGCAGTCAGACCCAGGGCACTTCCACTGAAAGGCAAAGCCATCCCAGATAAATGCGATATACTTGGGAGTACGTCTGGACTTCCACCACTGGAAGGAACCGAGGTTGAGGCAGCGAGACGGGGATTGGATAACATTGCGGTCACGGGTATTGTCGGGTTCATGGCCATGTTGGATGGCTGGTTATTCATCATATTGGATGGTGACATAGTCCTATTCATTCCGGATGGATTAATAATCATAGAGTAGTCGAAACTGTATGAAGACCGGCGTGCTTCCCTTCGGTTCCCATCGATGGCTGCTTGCAATTCACTGGGTGAACTCAGTCCCAGTGTGTCGCATTCATATGGGTACAAATACTTCATGTATCTAAAATGCAGATCAAGATAAATCATTGCAAAACGCTGCATGAGAACTCTTGGGAATGTGTCTGCCTCCTCCATAGCATAGTTTACGTTGAAGTTCAGTGAGACTAGTGAGTGGCTGACTAGAGTTGCTTTGGTTACATTTGTCCTCTGTTGTATAGGCATATCTCATACATAGACTGGTGGCGGCAGGGTAATAATTGTCCACTCAATTCCCAGACTTTTCAGAACCTGGGCCTACTATTGCATTAGGACTATAAACACACTCCTAATTTATGAGACTGTTAGGTATGCCGTCAATTGAAAACAATGCCGTTACTCACTGGGTGCGTAAGGTGAAAGCAGCACTGGTGATGGATGAGGGGAGGCTAAGACCTTTGGTGATTTCCCGCCACAATTTCTTGTTAATCACTTCGACTAGACCTCCACGAGCAACTACCAAATGGAACAGTTCGTATAGATCCAGAACTTGTTTGGCCATGATTGGAATACGATTGACAGGGGTACCTGATTCAATGGAAATTAGTAAAATAGGGATACAGTTAAATTCAGATGATAATTATTTGGACGTCAATCTAATGCAACGACATTTTTCAGCCTACTTTGTGTACTGTCAGGTTAATCCAAGACCGATGGTGCCAGAAGTGTAGTGCGGTATGAAAACTGGCAATCTTCTAGGTTACTCTTGAGACACTCTACTACTACTAATCGTTATGTGGAGACGGAATATGGTTCACCACCACCCGTGCCCATGCATGCGCGGGGAAATTACATCGTAGTCAACCATATGCACCGTTACTCGTAATTCTCATCTCGGGTGGCACCCACCAGATGGACGATGGAAGGGCAGGTGGGCTATGGGGTAGGCCATCCAAGTGAGACAACCGTTATAACGACCTGATAACACATAGCTCACACTTTTGCTCTCCTAACTAACCATTCATACCTGGCATATCTACGTCCGCACACGGATAGCTTACCACAAATAGCGAAGCTTGCAAGTAGCACCAGAATTTGGTAAGGCTAAGTGTGTACAATTAATGCCAAATCGATCCTTTGTTTTCTCCTCAGTCGCATGCGCAATACATTTGGGTAGTAAATGAATCTATATAAAAGTGGAGCGAAAAATTTGGGTGATTAAGACCAGAGCAAGCTGATAGACTGCTTCGGTTGCTTTGGCGTGCACAATACCGGCCGCTTTACCGAAATCAGTAATACCTCACTGATTGTCAGCATATTGGAGGAGAACAATCGAGCTATTCACATATCGCAATTTTGCTTTCTGTCTGCGTTGATCAAGTGGGCAAAGGGGACACAGGGTTTCAAGTTTCATACGTGTTTTCTATCCATTCTTCGGGGGATAAATGGGAAACATCTAAGGAAACATATAAAACAGATTGCGAGATGGTAACGACAGTGAGCATAGCTAAATCTCTGTTTTTCTCGAATAACCTGGGCAACCGGTTTCCATTGGTAAGCTTTGGAAAATGATTATTTGCCTTTTGTAAATAATACGTTTGCATTCGAAGGACATCAGTGTGCCATCAAGAATCGGCTGGGACATGCATGAAACGGTTAGGGGCACTAATTCCAGCCACACTGGAGTACATAAAGTGCAAATTTCTTAAAACATTTGCATCACGTGCGGGCAAATGTTTTTCATCCGAAACCGTTGGACAGTTGGATTTCATCAGCGTTATTTCACACCATCCGACAAGTGCCCTTTAACCATGCGATTTTCTCTCATTCAGATAATAGCGAGAATCAGGATGGCATATGCCAAGTCTTATAAACCAGTGCAGGCCTAGTCCAGTCCTCGCGTCTCATGTTGATGTACATATTGTGCGCTTACATGTTGGGTCTTAGAATTCTTTGTGAGGCCCAGTGTCGTTGATGTTCCCGTCCGCCCGTTACAGTCGGATCAGTATCTCTAGTTTCGAACCTTCGTAATACCAGCGGGGTGCTATGTTTCTTTGGAGTGCATGTGGTCAGGAAGGCTAAGCGCAAAACCCAGACTGCATTCGTTCTTTTGCTCTTCCCACGAGCGGCATATAGGTAGATGTCAAAGGTCTTTGATCACAGGACTACCGGATAAGATTCTTTCGTTTGGTGCACTCTCCTATAAAGTGCAATGGCCACCTGGTTCCGTTTCGCTCGCGCATGTGTTCGAAAAAGTCCTAGGGTTTTATCTAAACAGTCCATCGGTACAGTGTGCTCGAAGCGCATCGGGGCGACCTGATTTCGGGAATCTGTTAGCGTCCGCTTCACTCTTCCCGTCATGCAGCTCCTTCACGAACAGTACCAGTCTTCGGACTGACGCACTTCCCCAGACAGTTTCAAAATAATCCCGATCACTTTATCATAAATTCATCTCTGAACCATTCCAATTGATGCAAAGCCTAGAAATAAGATAGCCCAGACGACGTACTGGGGTGGAGGGGCCTGATGGTTATGAATCGAAAGTGCGGAGGGATGGGTGAGTGTTTGGCTTATCGCATCTTCGAATCTGTCGTGGCGCATGTGTGTGCTTTTGTGTGCATCTAACTCAGAGCGCCGTGCCCGGGCACTTACCAGGTCCGCGGGTGTCGGACGTGTTGGGTGACAGACAGTCAGAGAGGAAGAGATGCTCATGACCAGCGTATGAGGCTGTGAATTCCCCTAAGGTTTGTGTGTAAACAGTATACACATCCATGGCCTGACAAAGCACCGGAGCAGCTGTCTCCAAATCCAGGTGATCGCTGACGGTCCTCAAGGGTCCTTGTCTAGGGCACAATGTGACTAGGAACCCAGGTTACCCTCGCACAGTGCACAGGGCCTTCGAGATGATCGGTGCCTCCAGTTGTTAATATAAACTTTGGTGGTTCTACTACCATATCAAACAAAACAAGTTGGTCTTCGAAAGCCCTTGCTACTTCTACAAATGGAGGAGGTTCACTCAGATTTCGCTTCCACGGGCTTGATGCCCGCTGTTGTTGTCTGGTCAGCTACATATCCGAGAAGGTAGCGTAAGCATTTTGCATCAATGAAGCACCGTTATGGACAGAAAGCACTTTAAGGCATTTGCCACATAAGTTAGTCGGTTGATCGAGATTCCAAATTAAAGTGTCCAACCCTGGTTTATGTGGAATATACTAACTGAATTTTGAAGGTATGATTTGAGGTTAAAATGTGAAGTTTGCCTGAGGGTGATGGCTATAGCCCGTTTAATATGTGAACAATATGTGTATAACACTTCCGCCCTCCACATTTTCAGGTGAGTCAATGCTACGCATGTTATGTTTGTCATAATGGTGAAGATGATATCTCCAGCCTGCTTCTTGGGTACTGAACACCAGACCGAGGTTCCCTGGCATGCGTTTGATAATAGATATCTACCTGCACATTTCTTTTTCGTCTCATTCCATACGCATGACTCGTTTTGTCATATCAGGACACGGTCTTCACTCTGTAACTCCAACTGAAGTTACGTGAAGTTCTGTGTAGACTACGCGTCCACAACTGAGCAAAGGTTTCTGTCGCTGAAGATGTCGTAGTACTGAATCCCTTCGACCACATCGTGGACTGCGAGTATTGCTTTTTGAATAGTTTATGCCATGAGTGCTCAAACTACGGCTTGCGACCTCAGTTTATTCGGCCAGGCGACTGTAGCATAATTTGCTTAATAAAGCGTGTGGAACACAAGGTGTTTTGAGCCAATTTACATTTGGTACTACATATTGTCCATTGCCTTATACGGGCGTAATCCAGCTAATGGATGCTACAACGGATACTGTACTAGTAGTGACCTCACACCGTTGGAACATCGAGGTGTCATCACACGCGAAATTCAGTTATTCATTCACCCTACTGTTTCCGCTTACTTCACAATTTTGTGTCGCAATTTTCCGTTGGCCAGCTCCCTTGAGGCACGTGTCATATAAAACACCATTTATTAAGACGCAACTAGTTTACGCATGTCTCATTCTGAAGCTATATTTGCTAGCTGTTTGGAAGGAATTGCTTTAATACAGCATTGTGCAGGAAACGAAAACTGTTGAGGTTTGTGCATTTTATTTCGTTAAGGCATGTAAAGAACACCGATATTCCGTTGCAGAACTGTCGTTTGATTTGGCTGTGACGGAAACGCTTTACTCAATGCTTTCCAATGAACCTTACGTGCACCCCGATAATCCGCAGTTCCTCCACTGACCGTTAATCCTCTGTTTTTCAATTATCTTTGTTATATTTTAGTGCAATCGCTTTTTCTTGTTTAGGTCCGCTTTATTCCAGGCTTCACTAACGCTACCAAGAAAGGAAAACGGATACTGCGACGAGGCGAATTTGACTCGCCTTCAACTAACTTCACGTCCCCATGGTTATCCAGCCAACCATACCCCTACCGCGAAAGTCCACTCAACACTTTTCACACTATCCATGCGATCAATCAAAAATGCAGCGCATTTATTCAAACTTGAATAACAGCTACACACATGTACTCCCACATACATGTATGAAATCACAGCTCCAACGTTCATGGCTAACGCTCCGTTTTTATACCACCCCCGATATTTGGTTGTACCTTCAACGTGACCGTGCCGACATAGACCTGTCTCACATTGTGCGAGTATAAAGAATTTATTTATTTATTAAGTTCCGTGAGTTTTGTCTTTTTTCAGTGATTTGTGCTGGCTTGCAAGTAATGTGCGTAATGAGTAGGCGGTCACACTAACTATCTTATTAGATATCCGGCCAGCTGAGAACAATGTTTGGGACCCCTAATCTATACACATAGAAACAGCGCAAACCTGAGATGGGATACAGTCTGACCACGTTCTGGTCCTCGATTTCATTAACAGAAGTGTTGTTTCGGTATTACTTTCCAGTGTAATGCAGGCGGATCGCACAGTACTGTTGGAACCGCTGGTCGTATATCGTGAACCCAACCAAAAACAGGGTGAGAAACGTTGAATATCATGCCGTTACTTCCTTTCTGTAATATACTTGAGAACCTGCTTTGTGTGTCTATGTAGTGCCCTTGAATGATACTGTTTAGTGTCCAAGCATGCAACATCATTCATTGTCGCGTATAATGCATAACAGAAACATGTGTTGTGTTCTGCCTCGGCTTCGTTTTATTCTGCGTAGGCACTATGTAACCACTACTCATGTGGAGTGAAATGGAGCCCCGCTTCAGAGATGTGAGTTGGTAAGTTCTTACTGTTCCGTATTTGAGTCCTAGACGCACCTAACCATCTCATACCATTCTACACAGGAGCCGTTCTGGAATCTTTCGACCTGGACAAGTTGTGCACTTATTGCAAATGTCTACTAACTCAGTAAAAATGAATGCCTCCACGACTAGAAAAAGAAGAAAACAGGAAACCGTAGCCAAATACGTTTCTAATGCGTCAAAGGTCCTGCCCGATATGTTCAAAGGCATTAATCTCCTCAAGGAAGAAATCAATTCACTTAAAAACAAACAGTGAATTTAGCAGTAGTTACAATAACATTTTATCATTTTGTGAACT